ATGGTGAAGAAAAATGGTACGTTTTTCAAGATCTGCTCCGGAAACGAGGACTACCACCATTTTGAGTCTAAATCAAAGTCGTTGCCAATTGGAAACTTGAAAAATATTGTTTTTAAAAATCCCAAACTATCAAAAGGCACCAGTTCACCACTAAACCTATCTATGTGCCAAGTATGACGAAGAAATATGGTACGGTTTTCAAGATCTGCTCTGGAAACGAGGACTACTACCATTTTGAGTCTAAATCAAAGTTGTTGCCATGGAAACTCGAAAAATTATTTTTTTTAAAATCCCAAACTATCAAAAGGCACCAGTTCACCACTAGATCTATCTATGTGCCAAGTATGACGAAGAACTATCATACGGTTTTCAAGATCTGCTCCGGAAACGAGGACTACTGCCATTTTGAGTCTAAATCAAAGTCGTTGCCAATTGGAAACTTGAAAAATAACTTTTTTTAAAATCCCAAACTATCAAAAGGCACCAGTTCAACACTAGACCTATCTATGTGCCAAGTATGACGAAGAACTATGGTACGTTTTTCAAGATCTGCTCCGGAGACGAGGACTACCGCCATTTTCAGTCTAAATCAAAGTTGTTGCCATGGAAACTCGAAAAATAACTTTTTTTTAAATCCCAAACTATCAAAAGGCACCAGTGTGCCATGTTTGGTGAAGAAATATGGTACGGTTTTCAAGATCTGCTCCAGAAACGAAATGTGACGGAAGGACGGACGGACGGCACCCATTCATATATCCCCCTTCCACTTCGTGGCGGGGGATAATAAGTATGTAAGTGTATGAAAAGACTGCCCAGCATCAGCTTATTATTATCCGCACATATTATTATTATTTTATATCAACTGATTGGAAGGCCTCAGTGGTCTAGTGGTAGATCATACGCCCAGAGAGCGGAAGGTTCAGGGTTCGATCCCCAGCCGCGTCATACCAAAAGACGTTAAAAGATGATACTTGTTATAACCCTGCCTGCCGCTTGGCATTAAGGGCCTAAATAAGGACTGGTCGGCTCGGAATCATAATACTGAGTCTGAGTAGGGTATTCATGTTAAACTGCGGCATGGTATTTTATTTGAATACCCTCACTTCACCTCAACTGATTATCGGGGACACGGGTGGCGCAGTCGTCTAAGGCGCCGCGAATCGCTGTGCAGAGTTGCATCCCATGGGCACGCCAGAAACCTGATTGTGGGTTCGAATCCTGGTTCACCCTGATTATGTTTCTATTATTATTAATGGATAATACATTTACTAAAATGGTTCATAATTTACCATTGTGCTATTGTTTGCAGATAGTAATATGCAAATTTAAGCAAGATATCGGCAATATGATTATTGAAATACAAGTCCTATTATGAAACGCATTCCACATTCAATCACATAATTCAAGTAAGTTACAAAATTTTATGTTCGTTTTTGTCTTAACCTCTGTATGGTAGAAAATGTTGTGATATTTTTTATATAATAATGTGTATTTTTCTCTCAGGAACAAATGTGCGAAATATTGGTTCATTCGTCCCATGTTTAATGAAGCCTCGACTGTTTGATATATCCACCTCTTTACAGTGCCTTATGCTGAAACTAATCCAGGAGCCGAGGACACGGGTGGCCCAGTCGTCTAAGGCGCCCCAATTCGCTGTGCAGAGTTGCGTCCCCTGGGCACGCCAGAAACCTATGATTGTGGGTTCGAATCCCGGTTCTCCCTGATTATGTTTCTAGGTTTGTCAGCACCATACCCGTGCTTGTGGGTTTCACTGAAGTGGTAAACCTGAGACCTGCATCACTTCGGGCTTTCCTCCCACATTAAGCTGACACGCCGCGATATAACTGGAACACTGGTAAAAGCGGCGTTAAACCCAACTCACTCACTCACTCACTCACTAATCCTGCAGCCAGGGGTAAGAAGTGTAAAAACAATTCAGAAGGTTAAGGGTTAATTCCTATTGTACGACTCGTTGAACATGGGTATGATCGCACAGTAATCTTTACCATGTGATGGTCGTCTTGCTAGTGCAGCTGCAGGCGTCAGTGCACTTTAATAATGAGAGGTCATGCACTTTGAAATGAAATAAAATACCAATTTTTTTTATTGATTTTCAATAAACAATAGCAACAATAAATTTCAGTCACACAAAAGGCTTGGTCTTTCAGGACTTTCAAGGTCAATACTTTGACACAGAGCAGCAGACATACTGGAATACGATCGGTTTCTCTAGTTTATGTCCTTTTTTTCATTCCCTGACAATAATACAAGCCAGGATACAACATTCTGAGTATTGAGTACAATGCTGGCTTGAATACATTTACATACACATTACATCGGATACAATTAGAAAAATAGCATGCTGTGTTTTCAATGTAGAGCTAGGTTACCTGGATATCTAACCGCGCTAAATTAAATTTAACCGAATGGAACCGAATGGAAACCATACATGAATTGAATTATGGAATCACCGACAACAGCCTTTAAACAAACTATGGCGCTGTATATACTCAAGCTATTTGTTTACACTGTAATACTTCACTTGAATATATGACAGGCATTTAAAGCATATAAGCACGACAACTTGGTAAGCTCACATGAGTGGGCACCCCTAAAGAAAACAAAGCATGCGTTGCAAAGCTTCAGTTCCACACCTCACATCACCATGGTGATGTCATATTGCTCTTTGTTACACAAAAGATATGATGTCAGTCATGTATAGAAAAGCGCCAAATTCCAAGCTCTTTGGTGTCCCCAAAACTTTCGATACATAGAATATTTTCAACCACATAAAACACACCGTTATAATAAACAGTTAACATTTGCTAAAGATTGGATGACAAACATGTATTCGATGAATTCCATAATGATATATTATTACTTTTGTATGTTTTTTTTGAGAGGTAATTTGGTAGCCCTAGAGGGGATGAAAATTGGAGATTCACTGCTGGGTTGTTTTTTCCACCTTGAACAATATTTAAACTTAATGTAGTAGGAAAGCCTGCAGTGAAGCAGGTCTAGGATATTTACCACATTGGTGAAACCCACGAGTATGGTGGTGACAAACCTAGCAACATAATCAGGGAAAACTGGGATTTGAACCACGATCATATGGTCCTGGCGTTCCTAAGGGACACTACTCTGCACAGCACAGAGCCTGAGATGAGTGGACCACCTATTCCCCCTGTACACCAACAACATGCATGGTAGTTATCTGTGTGGTGCTGACACTTTCTGTGTTGCAGTGCTGCAGGCAACATCCTAGAATAACCAAACATTCTATAATGTACTCGGGGGCACGGGTGGCCCAGTCGTCGATTATGTTTCTAGGTTTGTCAGCACCATACCCGTGCTCGTGGGTTTCACCGAAGTGGTACACATCTGAGACCTGTATCACTTCGGGCTTTCCTCCCACATTAAGCCGACACGCCGCGATACAACTGGAATTCTGTTAAAAGCGGCATTAAACCCAACTCACTATACTGTGTGTCCCTTGTCCACAATTTTCTGTGAAAATATATCCAAGTCAGTTTTCAAGGCAAATGAAGTGGATGTTGTAACCATTTCTCATGCATCCCTAAATGAGGCTGAAATTTTAATAAATGTTGAGTAAAGATATTTAATCAATATCCTCCCCTCAATAAGATTGTTTAGATCAAACCGAATTGATCATTTTTTGATGATCGTCCATGTCAGGGAGAAGACTGTAAGTTGCCTTGGATATACAAAATACTGGCAAGGAATTATGCCACATACAAATGGGAATAACAGTATCATTAAAGAATATAACTGTAAACAACAGAAATGAGACAGTCAACACTATCACATACTTACTTTGGACAAATAGGAGCAAATAAGGATTGACACATTGTGAAAACAGACCTGAAAATTCTTTTGCGCCGCTACATATTTCACAGACGTTTTCATCTGATCATGCAATCTCGAAAACTTTAACATTGGGTATTCTGAACGATAGTTATGGGTTTAATGACTGAATCCTTACAATCTAGACCATCTATTAGCCAGTCCAAAATGTTTTTTTGTTCAGGTTTCAAATTTGTAATCGAGAATTTGTCAAAAAATGTTTCGAAGCGTAGTCGCCAATTTGAAATTTGTGCCATAAAGCACAAGATTGGTCATTCCATTGGTCGGTCTGACGTGACCCCTAATGGGTGTGAGTGAGTTGGGTATAACGCCGCTTTTAACAGTATTCCAGTTATATCGCGGCGTGTCAGCTTAATGTGGGAGGAAAGCCCCAAGTGATGCAGGTCTCAGACGTTTACCACTTCGGTGAAACCCACGAGCACGGGTATGGTGCTGACAAACCTAGAAACATAATCGGGGCGAACCGGGATTCGAACCCACAATCATAGGTTTTGACCCCTAATGGGATGTCCTCAGATCTTTGTTTAGCGGTAGCGAGAACTATGATCTGGTTTTAATTAGATTGCAAAAAAACACGAGATCCATGGAGGTGAAATAATTTTCAGCCTGTGACATCCCCCATTCAAAGGTGACCTGACATTTGTCAGATTTTTCAAAGAGTAAAAAAATCTATGATGATGATGTTTGTCCTTATAACTGTTAAACAACAGGAATGCATATTAAAACAGATCTAAGCTGTGTAACCATGGTGACGAATTTAATGGAGATAATGGCATATTAATTAATTGAATGCATAAAATAATTTTTTATGTAAGGGTTTCTTAAACAGTGAGATCGAGGTACAATGGTCGAAGCACTATGGTCATTCTCTAAAATGAGTCCCATAGCCTTAACTGTTCCATACTGTAACCATGGCAACAGTTTCTATGAGAAGGAATATTAAAATGTGGCAGCTGCTTCCAAGTTAACAGCAAGGTGTTTGTGGATGCTCCTGCTGCATTCACGTTTATGTCTTCTGTGTTTGATGGTGAGATTTCTGTTCCTCACTCACTCATTCATTCTTTCCTTTATTCACTCCTTACATTCCATGTTAAATCAAAATAAAAACAATAAAAAACTGTTTTAATGAGACACATCTGCATCTACTGTTTACTGTGTAATCTGGAATATTTTTTGTAGAGATATCATTAATTGGAAATTTTAGAATTGATGTATATGGATTCAAGAATATGACAATATTTTTATAAATAATAAAATAATTCTTCTGCATTTGTATAAATAAATATTATCTATGTAGACCCACATCAATTTAAAGCTAAATATGAACTTGGCGGGGCTGTTAACCAGAGCAAATGTTTAAAATTCAGATTTCTGCCTTGTCGTTGTCCATCTTTACCATGGTAGTCTTAATAAACGTAACGCTTCTGTGGCAGTGAATGATTAAGTTGGTAGTGACAATTATAAATTTGCTTTTGGTGTCCCCCGCCGTGATATTGCTGGAATATTGCTAAAAGCGACATACAACCCTACTCACTCATTATTGGCATCTGTACAGCATTGACATAAATCTTATATCAATACATCGATATCGCGATATACGATGACATCCCTAGACTTATTACAATCCTGAATTTAGTGAATACCGTATTCGGCGTAATAAGCGCCCTGCTCTAATAAGCGCCCACGGCGATATTTGCTAATATATTGGCTAGTGAACAATCCCAATTAGCCCCCCTTCCGATTTATCAATGTACACAAGACTTATTTATTCGTGTATTATAAGCACTCGTGTGTTATATGCACCCTTAATTATGGGGATTTATATTCTGGAAAAGTGTATCTGTCGTATATAAACAGTTCAGACTGTCAGCATAAACCACGAAATTTATCTTTCAACTCTGTTTTTTCCACCAAAGTAATATTCTAATAAGAGCCCCCTATTTCTAATTTTGAGAGCACCCTGGGCGCTTATTACGTCGAATACGGTATATGTCTTCCTCCTTTGGTCCAAGGACAATAAAACAGATTCTGCAAATATGGCACATTGTTCTTAACTAGAAACAACAATAGGATTAAAACTGATACAATGATACATGAAAACAACAATGATAATACTCTTATCTCACCAGGACACTTAATGAAAACCTCCCTCTCACAACATACTACTTTTGTTACGTCTATCATGGTGCAAGAGAACCAGTCTGCCAGACTGTTTTTTGCCAACTCTCTACTCCATGGCAGTTAACAAACTGTCAGTTACCTAGCCTACTTTGTGAAAAAAGGAGTACCATCTAAAAGACATTAGATTGAAATGGGAATATTCGAAAATGAAAATAAGTTACAGTGATCAGAATGGTGTGAATATCATTGACGAGGAAAATATTAATTGTAAACCCACAAATATTTATAAAAAATCGTAGACTAGATTACAATAATACAATTTGGCAGCATTACCATAATTAATTAAATTCTTTGAACTTAAGAATATTTAAATATGTACATAAAATATTAAAATAGAAACCTTTAATTATTTTATCAACTGACTTAAATTTCAATAATAATGTAACTGGAACCCCAAACTCTGACATTTTGGCCATTTCACCATAACACGGAACTGTGTTTGAGGATATAACTCTTGACCAGCATACAAGCTACTACTGCTGTATACTCATGTATACAAGAGGTACATGTCTGACACAGACTGAGACGTGGATGTAATCAGTGATATGGCTGGGGTGAAACTTGTTATACGTCTATCTTGGAGACCATTTCCGCAACAAATCTCTGGAGGTCCTTGCTTCTCATTTCCCCTGTTGCCAGGACTTCCTCGTGGTTAGCAAAGCTCTGAGACTCAAATTCCATGATGCACTTGTTGGTGATGAGGGAGAGGCCGAACACCTTCATATTACAATGACGGGCTACGGTCACCTCAGGGATGGTGCTCATTCCTGGAGATGAAGAATGGGGGTGTTAGTAATGTAGTAATATACACTGTGAAGTGGGACAATATGAGAACAATATCCCTGTGAGGTGGGAGAATATGAGGACAATATCCCTGTGAGGTGGGACAATATGAGGACAATATCCCTGTGAGGTGGGACAATATCCCTGTGAGTGGACTATATGAGAACAATATCCCTATGAAGTGGGAGAATATGAGGACAATATCCCTGTGAGGTGGGACAATATGAGGACAATATCCCCCTGAGGTGGGACAATATGAGGACAATATCCCTGTGAGGTTTGACAATATAAGGACAATATCCCTGTGAGGTTGGACAATGTGAGGACAATATGTACACTGAGAGACAGGTAGGACAATATGAGGACAATATCACTGTCAGGTGGGACAATATGAGGATAATATCACTGTCAGGTGGGACAATATGGGGACAATATCACTGTCAGGTGGGACAATATCACTGTCAGACAGATAGGTCAATATGAGGACAATATCACTGTCAGACAGGTAGGACCATATGAGGACAATATCCCTGTCAGACAGGTGGGACAATATGAGGACAATATCACTGGCAGGTTGGACAATATGAGGACAATATCCCTGTCAGACAGGTGGGACAATATGAGGACAATATACACTGGGACATAAACGCTGTTACCTGTAGCATCAACACCAATGAGTCGGAGGAACTTGCACTCTGTGACCGTCTCGAAGGATGGTCCTACCATCATGCTATAGACGCCTTCCTGGAAGAATTTGGTCATACCCATGTCAGCTGCCGTTTCCTTGGCAATCTTCCGCAGTTCGTCATCATAAGCTCCTGACAGTGCTGGGAAGCGGGGACCAAACCTGACAACAGGAAAAGTTACACATGGTTCACCTTCTGACCAACCTAGAAACATAATCAGGGCAAACTGGTATTCAAACTTACAATCAAAACTTTTGTTGATAAATGTCCTATCTGGGTATTTTCAATGTATTGTCCTATCTGGGTATTTTCAATGCATTGTCCTATCTGGGTATTTTCCATGCATTGTCCTATCTGGGTATTTTCAATGCATTGTCCTATCTGGGCATTTTCCATGCATTGTCCTATCTGGGTATTTTCAATGTATTGTCCTATCTGGGTATTTTCAATGTATTGTCCTATCTGGGCATTATCAATGTATTGTCCTATCTGGGTATTTTCAATGTATTGTCCTATCTGGGCATTATCAATGTATTGTCCTATCTGGGTATTTTCAATGTATTGTCCTATTTGGGTATTTTCAATGTATTGTCCTATCTGGGTATTTTCAATGTATTGTCCTATCTGGGTATTTTCAATGTATTATCCTATCTGGGCATTTTCAATGTATTGTCCTATCTGGGTATTTTCAATGTATCGTCCTATCTGGGTATTTTCAATGTATTGTCCTACCTGGGTATTTTCAATGTATTGTCCTATCTGGGCATTTTCAATGTATTGTCCTATCTGGGTATTTTCAATGTATTGTCCTATCTGGGCATTTTCAATGTATTGTCCTATCTGGGTATTTTCAATGTATTGTCCTATCTGGGTATTTTCAATGTATTGTCCTATCTGGGTATTTTCAATGTATTGTCCTACCTGGGTATTTTCAATGTTTTGTCCTATCTGGGCATTTTCAATGTATTGTCCTATATGGGTATTTTCAATGTATTGCCCTATCTGGGTATTTTCAATGTATTGTCCTATCTGGGTATTTTCAATGCATTGTCCTATCTGGGTATTTTCAATGTATTGTCCTATCTAGGTATTTTCAATTTTCAACTGATTTTCCAACTCACCTCTCATCATTCATTCCAACCAACGGATTGATGCCAGCGAATCCAGCCAGGTTGAGGTGGTCTTTGATGATCATGATGTCCCCCACACTGAACTTGTCATTGATCCCTCCAGCAGCATTGGTGACAAACAACACCTTTACTCCCATCAACTTCATCGTGCGCACTGGGAGGGTGATCTGTTAATACAAGGGTTTGTTTTGTTGTTGTTTAATGCCACACTTAGCAATATTCAAGGAGGGTGATCTGTTAATACAAGGGTTTTTTTTGTTTTTGTTTAAGGCCACACTTAGCAATATTCAAGCCTATATGAGGGTGACCTGCAAATAATTGAGTCTGGACAAGACAATCCAGTGATCGATACTGTAGGCAATGATCCATGCCGAGGACACGTTATCAACCAAAACAGACAGGGTGGTCTACCCCTGGTGCATGCATTACTCACTAGAGGGCAGAAAGACAGGCACACACTGCAGGACACTGTTGCATGTCACCGAGCCTGACCACCTGATCCTATTGGTTGCCTCTTACAGCCAGCATAGGTTTCTAGGGACAGAGCTCCAGATAACTTTTTGAGCAATTGAGTTTTTACTCTAGGGTTTCTATTTTAATTAGGTTATTACATTTTTCATTGGGTAACCAATATTTTTTCACTCATCTATTCATCACTCTATTGGGTTTTTCCATAAATTATTGAACATTTTAAGATTTAAAAAAGATGAAATAATGTTTTAGATGTACATAACTGTTCTAAATATACAGGCTTGACTCGGAAAGTAAATTAGCTCGTAATTGTGTTTCGGAAATCAGCTCTTTTGTACGCATGCTGAAAAAGCCTCATAGGGTTTTGAATATCTTTTGGGGGTATTTTACGCAAATACGCTGCTTATCTGTAGCTCTGTAGGGACCAACTCTACCTCTACTCTACTCTGATATTGTGCACTTTCTCATCACACTCATTTCTGCCAGATAAATACAGATGTTGAATAGGAAAAGTGTATGAGATGAACAAAATATTTAGGCATTGTGGCAAGACAGTGAACATCGGCTGAATATGCTGATATATGATTTTATATAGCACCTAATATCCATCAGTAGGTGCACTGAGTTACAATACATGGAACAGAACGGAACAGAATGGTATGGAACGGAACAGAATGGTATGGAACGGAACAGAATGGTTTGGAACTGAACAGAATGGTATGGAATGGAACAAAATGGTATGGAACGGAACAGAATGGTTTGGAACTGAACAGAATGGTATGGAATGGAACAAAATGGTATGGAACGGAACAGAATGGTATGGAACTGAACAGAATGGTATGGAACGGAACAGAATGGTATGGAATGGAACAGAATGGTATGGAACGGAACAGAATGGTATGGAACGGAACAGAATGGTATGGAACTGAACAGAATGGTATGGAACAGAACAGAATGGTATGGAACTGAACAGAATGGTATGGAACAGAACAGAATGGTATGGAACGGAACAGAATGGTATGGAATGGAACAGAATGGTATGGAACGGAACAGAATGGTATGGAATGGAACAGAATGGTATGGAACGGATTAGAATGGTATGGACGGGACAGAATAAAATACAAAATAACATAAAATAACATAACATAAAGAATTATATAATATAATATTCTTCTGTTTTCAATTCCTACCTTTTGGGGAGAATAGCCCTCGTAGCAGTGAGCTCGCCCCTGCATCAGGACCACAGCCTTGCCCCTCAGCTTCCCAAACACCAGCCTCCCCTCATGGCCAGGAACTGTGGACAGACAGTGGATACTAGGGTTTAGGTGTATCACAATATTTTGAAATGCACATGGCTGTATCGAGATACGTATCACAATATACTGTATAATTCTAAACTTTGAATTCAGAAGCAAGCTGTAACATTAAGGTATGAATTGAAGGTCATAAATAGAACAAAACAAGATGGTGGAACAACATAATATATACTCATTCAATAAATATGCAGCAATCTGGACCAGACAATCCAGTGATCCACACCATCTGGGTATGATGACATGCAGTGAGTGAGTGAGTGTGGTTTTACGCCGATTTTAGCAATATTCCAGCAATATCACGGCGGGGGACACCAGAAATGGGCTTCACACATTGTACCCATGTCGGGAATTGAACCTGGGTCTTCGGCGTGACGAGCGTACGCTTTAACCGCTAGGCTACCCGACCGCCCCATGATGACATGCAATGAACCAAGTCACCCAGGACCACCTGATCTATTTGGTTGCCTCTTACAACCAGCATAGGTTGCTAGGGACCAGTTGACCCGGAACCCCCCAGGGATCAAGCTGACCTAGAACCCCCCAGGGGACCAGCTGACCCGGAACCCCCAGGGGGCCTGACAGGTAGTGCATGTATCTCACCTGTGCTGATGGGGAAGCCCCCAGGGGGTCAGACAGGTAGTGCATGTATCTCACCTGTACTGACGGGCAAGCCCCCAGGAGGTCTGACAGGTAGTGCATGTATCTCACCTGTACTGACGGGGAAGCCCCCAGGGGGCCTGACAGGTAGTGCATGTATCTCACCTGTGCTGACCCGGAACCCCCAGGGGGTCTGACAGGTAGTACATATATCTCACCTGTACTGACGGGCAAGCCCCCAGGGGGTCTGACAGGTAGTGCATGTATCTCACCTGTGCTGACCCGGAACCCCCAGGGGGTCTGACAGGTAGTACATATATCTCACCTGTGCTGAAGGGCAAGCCCCCAGGGGGTCTGACAGGTAGTGCATGTGTCTCACCTGTGCTGACGGGGAAGCCCCCAGGGGGTGTGACAGGTAGTGCATGTGTCTCACCTGTGCTGATGGGGACGCCCCCAGGGGTTCTGACAGGTAGTGCATGTATCTCACCTGTGCTGACGGGGAAGCCCCCAGGGGGTCTGACAGGTAGTGCATGTATCTCACCTGTGCTGACGGGGAAGCCCCCAGGGGGTCTGACAGGTAGTGCATGTATCTCACCTGTGCTGACGGGGAAGCCCCCAGGGGGTGTGACAGGTAGTGCATGTATCTCACCTGTGCTGACGGGGAAGCCCCCAGGGGGTGTGACAGGTAGTGCATGTATCTCACCTGTGCTGACGGGGAAGCCCCCAGGGGGTGTGACAGGTAATGCATGTATCTCACCTGTGCTGATGGGGAAGCCCCCAGGGGGTGTGACAGGTAATGCATGTATCTCACCTGTGCTGACGGGGAAGCCCCCAGGGGGTGTGACAGGTAATGCATGTATCTCACCTGTGCTGATGGGGAAGCCCCCAGGGGGTGTGACAGGTAATGCATGTATCTCACCTGTGCTGATGGGGAAGCCCTGAATGTCCTTGTAGCTGATCACCTCCTTCTCCTCCACTCCATCGGCCAGTTTGCCGCACCCGGAGCCGCAGATAATTCCCAGAGTCGGTCGGCATGTCACTCTGCCCAGGATGCTCTTAGCGATTTCCTCCACTTCATTGTATGTATAACTGAAACAGATATTGTTGAAATAACATTGTGTACCATTGAAACAGTGAAGTACTGCTGACACCTTGGATTATTCCACAAATGGGTCTTGGTGCTAAGGGGCTATGTTATAGGGGAAGGGTGGTTGCGGGTGGCAGGGAAGGGTGGTGGTGGGGAAGAGATTTGAGGGTAGGAGGGGGGATGGTAATGAAAGAAATAACAATAAGAGGTGGGCAGCAAAATTTATCAGAACCATGGGGTGTGGGGTGGGGTGGGGGTGGGGGTGAATATATGACACAGTTCTTTTTTTTTTTCAAATTAATGAACTATTAATTTGAACATTATTTAGGGACTGGTCATTTATCAATTTATTAAGGTGGAAGGGGTCATGGCAAAATAAATGTTACATGTATTGGGAGGGGAGGGGAGGGGAGGGAAGGGGGCATGAAAATAAAGTTACATAAAATGGGTGGGGGGAGATTAGAATTTAACACTTCATCACACTCTTCAAATTAATGAAGCAGACTAGCGCAAATATCAGTTGGAGAAATGGTCTTCCCAAGTAACCACACCACCTGGAACTGTCCAACCTTAGCCACCACACTGGCCATCCAATCAACTTTTCTGTCATCTGTAAATATTACACTAAGTAGATGAAGAACTCCATTGGAATCACAGAGCTAGTTACAGAATTTCTGTTCAATATAACAGAACATGATGACATTTTGCTGAAATTAATTGTGACTTCATCCCCATAATCAGGAAAATACAAGACTTCAGAACTGAAACAGAGGTACACCATGTACACAATAGCAATATGTATTTGTTGTCATATACAGGGGTATCATGTTTGTTTGTTTGTTTGTTTGTTTGTTTGTTGTTTAATGCCACACTCAGCAATATTCCAGCTATATGACGGCGGTCTGTAAATAATGGACCAGACAATCCAGTGATTGACATCATGTTCATAGATCTACGCAATTGGGATACGAAGACATGTATCAACCAAGTCAGCGAGCCTGACCACCCGATCCCATGAGTCACCTTTTATGACAAGCATAGTTGCCGTAATCGGCAAGCATGGGTTGCTGAAGACCTTTTCTACCCCGGATCTTCACGGGCCGGTATCATGTATACATGGCATACAGGGACAATTAATAATTTGCTGGAAATCATCAGAAACATACTTCCTAGTAAACCCAGTCAAGTTATTCTGTTTGTGTTCATAGCCACATAGTGGTGTATCAGTTTGAACTTTTATCCACTAGTCCAAAGCCCGAGTCAAGTAAACTTCTGTTCGGTCCAGTAAGCTGGTGATCGTGATAGTCCACATAATGAGCCTAAATTCTACTAAAACTGATGCTGAGAACCATGTTCCAGCTAGTAGTTTTGGGGACAGAGTCTGATGTAGTGGATAGAGCATCTGCCCAGAGAGCAGGTCAGTTTGATCCTCGGCCACATCATACTAAAAGACGTTAAAAGATGTCACTTGTTGTTACCCTGCCTGGTGCTCGGCATTGAGAGGCTAAAACAAGTATTAGTCGGCGCGGAGTCACCTCATAGTCACATTACTGGTTTAATCAGGAACAAAGCGCTTTTAAAATATGAAGATTTAGCAACTGAATACCGATCAACAAGGACCTGAAAAGTTAGTATTCACTTGCATGGGTCCAGTTACTATCTTGATAAAAAATTAACCCTTTCGTTATTTTCTGCTAAAAATAATCTCCGTCACTAATCATACTTATCAATGCATCCAGAGAAAACCTTCAAATTGTCGCAAGTTCTACTTCTATGGACACCCAAACCATTGAAACTCATTGTTGAGGTCAATGTCAGGACAACTGTCTGCTTCCAACCCAGAAGTCACACTGGATCGTTCACAATTGCATCATTATCCACACTTCAATGGTAGTTTTCATTGTAACCATGGTAACTTTACCCAACCTCATACGTTCCTAGCAACAGAAAATAACGTCAACACAGTAAATTATTTCAAGGTCAGGGTGCTAATTTGTGCTGTTGTAGCTTACTGTACAATTAATGTGCAATTAATGTGCTATTTTTGCTAGTTGTGCTGCTTGTTAGTGCTGGTGTGGTAGACACCGTTACCTGTCAGCCATGCTGCAGCAACGGTAATGACAACGAGGAGAGTGATGATCAATATTGCCGCACTAAACCTTTTAACCCTTTATGCACTAAGAAGTGCCTGGGCAAGGCCATTGTTATGCAACACAGATCAGCTTTTCGACAGAATTGCCAAAATGCAAACTTACAAATTCAGCATTTTCAGTTGCATATAAATTACTAACATCATTTGATCGTGTTTGGAATGTATCCAAAATGGATAGGCTGTCTGTCAGAGTCATAAGGGTAAAATCATCTATATTAACCTATAGTATTTCCATGGTAACTAGGAGACACAAGAGAAATCAGGATGTATCTTGTTGCAAAAAGTAAATCAAAGAATATCAAATGTGGACAGACTTTGACTTTAACACACCTCTATATAAAACACACCTATATTCTATTTAGATGTACTCTTACCCATTCTTGTCTTAAAAGTCTTTATGCCTCATCATAGGCATGTTAAATACAGTAAAATCTATGAACTTATGGATCTCGGAACCACAAAAATCAATCCTAATATCAAGAGTTATCCAGAGTCCCTGACAAGAGTGAGTGAGTGAGTGAGTGAGTGAGTGAGTGAGTGAGTGAGTGAGTGAGTGAGTGAGTGAGTGAGTGAGTGAGTGAGTGAGTGAGTGAGTGAGTGAGTGAGTGAGTGAGTGAGTGAGTGAGTGAGTGAGTGAGTGAGTGAGTGAGTGAGTGAGTGAGTGAGTGAGTGAGTGAGTGAGTGAGTGAGTGAGTGAGTGAGTGAGTGAGTGAGTGAGTGAGTGAGTGAGTGAGTGAGTGAGTGAGTGAGTGAGTGAGTGAGTGAGTGAGTGAGTGAGTGAGTGAGTGAGTGAGTGAGTGAGTGAGTGAGTGAGTGAGTGAGTGAGTGAGTGAGTGAGTGAGTGAGTGAGTGAGTGAGTGAGTGAGTGAGTGAGTGAGTGAGTGAGTGAGTGAGTGAGTGAGTGAGTGAGTGAGTGAGTGAGTGAGTGAGTGAGTGAGTGAGTGAGTGAGTGAGTGAGTGAGTGAGTGAGTGAGTGAGTGAGTGAGTGAGTGAAAGAGTGAGTGAGTACTTGGAATCAGGATTCTGATGCTGCAAAACCATTCCCACCAGCATCAGTCAAAGAAGCCAAGTGTTCTTTGTCATAATCTCAGTGTTATGTATCATGAGCACTTGAGTATAATCACTGACAATGTACAACACCTGTTCTTTACACATACCGATAGTCCAATCAGAGAACGTTTCACAAAATCAACATCCATGACTGGTACTGTATTTCCGGTTATGCAAGGGTTTTTTCTGTATTCAGGGATTAAACATGAAACTAAAACATTTTTGGGTCTTAAAATGATTGAGTGAGTAAGGTTTTACACCGCTTTTAGCAATATTCCAGCAATATCACGGCGGGGGACTCCAGAAATGGGCTTCACACATTGTACCTGACAAGAAGAAATCAGTATTTCTGATGAAGGGATTTGCTATCATTATGACCCTTTCTTGCAAGCTCCGACGTTCATACAGTTAAGAAATGAGTGTCAGAATTTTTGTTTCTATTGAGTGAGAGCGAGGGTAATACCTGAATCCTTACACTAGTTTCGTAAAAATCAGTATGAATCACATGAGTGTAATAACTTCTTTATAACCCATTATTACTTTCTTAATTTCTTATTTCTGAGATCCTCTTTATAAAATTGCAACGATCATGATCGCTGTCTAAGAAAACCACATTTTTCGAATGATGCCAAGAATCTGTAGCTATGACATCATTCTAGACGTCAATCCGACATTACGCCACAATAACATCCAAATGACGTCAACAAAGCTGCTCGGATGATGTAAACAGTACACTGGTGCATGTGAACATGGTGATGTGATATTTGCACAAGTGTACATACAAACTTGATGAACTCGGTTATTTCAAACGCTACGCGGAATAAATGTGTTGTGATATAGCATGTTCAGTAATAACACGATTAATTCTTTTCATCATGTTCATATTTGTAAATTAGGAAACTTGATCTACTCTGAAATAATGGAAAAGACACAAATGACTGGCACAGCAAACATTAATAATCTCTTGCGAAGTAATGACAACCCATTGCGGCTGTCTACTGTTTCACCACATTTACTGTATATGGTCTCCGGTTGAATCTATGACTCAAGCGTATCATGTGTTTGTTTGTTTATTATTTAACACTGCACTCAGCAATATTCCAACTACCATATTTGATGTAATAAGCCCCCACAGCGCTTTCATGATTAGAAATAGAGGGCTCTTATTAGAAATAATTTTGGTGGGAAAAAACCAGTGAAAAGATTGTAAATTTCGTGGTTTATTCTGACAGCCTGAAATGATACAAAAGAAAAGTCGTGCATATTATACACGACAGATATGTTTGCATATTTTTACACGGATAAATAAGTCTCGAGTACATTAATCAAACGGAAGGGGTGCTTATTAGGATTTTTCACTTGCCAATATATTAGCAAATATTGCCGTGGGCGCTTATTAGAGCAGGGCGCTTATCACGTCGAATATGGTATATGATATATATGGCACGCACGCACACACGCACAAGATCTTTCGCCGTTCAATGGCTCTTCATGTATAATGAAAGTTTCAACATACATTGTAGTCATAGGCGACGAACAAAGATCTCGTGTGCATTAAGGAGTTTTGACAAGCACAAATATCTAATATATAAAAATACTGACTCTGCTTTTTGGTTCTGATATGTGGTTAATTTAATGAGTGTTAGGGAGCAACATGGTATAGGACAGCAAGTTTAATTTGATTTATTTTGCCAAGTGGAATCTTTCCGACCTGTTTAGTTTTAAGAACATATGTCTGTATGTGTGGTCCAAATCATATAATAATTACAATATGAAAAATCTAAATATCCACAGCAAACA